AATTAATTAAGTATTAAGTATTATTAAGTATATTAAGTAATTTCACATTTTGTTTATGTTTAGGGTTTGATATCGTTTCCGAATGCCGAAACACTTCTATCTATTGCTAACAATACCAAACATTCTAGTTTGGTTGACTGCGTGATTACTCAAGTGAAATCCTTTCATTGTGGATAGAAATGTAAGTGGATCCCCACATCACCAGAATATCACTTTTAACATCAAAGTTTGCTCCTATCAAAAGGTAAAGGCCGAACTCATAGTGTTTGGACTAATAGCTGAAACAACACTTCGCTTATCCTTCCTGTTAATTTAAAATCTCAAGTCTAGTGAAGATGAAAAGGTAAAAAAACAGCTATGTTAATTTAAACCTTTAATTAATCCATCAAAACTGATGCTTGAATATAAAAAGACAATAGGTATATAATTAAGGACTTTATTACCTGTATATGCTGATGAATTTTCGACTCGATTTTTGGGCTTTATAGATTTATCGAAAACGAAAACTGCCAAATATACAGCATTGAAAGCAAATTGACTACAAAAAATTGTATCATTTAAGGAATGTAGTCTGGCGCTATCATTTCTGACAAAGCTAGCTCTGCTGGCTGTTACAGAAATTTTTTTCTAGGAAATTCTAGGAAATCGTTGGGCGACAGAAGAACAGGCAGCTCACCAGGATCGTTCGGACTTTTCGGAATGGGAGGTTTAAATATTAATTTAGTTTCAAATTGATGAAAGCCATGAAAATTGTTTGTAGAGTAAAATTTTGATAAATTTTTGTTGCTAATCAAATAACGCTCCCAGGCTAAATTTATTTTTTATTTCGAAAAAATTTCATTCAAAATAAAAAATATGGATGAAAAATAATAATTTTTACTAATGAAGAAGAATAAAATTCGGAACAAAACAGGCTTTTTTTCCACAATCCTCATTCACCCTCACTTTTAGCTCGTAGATTTTTTAAAGCCTTATTATCCACCGTTAATAGTCAATCAAGTGATATAATGGCTATATGACCAACTGCTCTGTTACTTAAGTTATCAGTTTGACCTCTGCTTCTTGACGAGAGTGAGAGTAAAGTAGTGATTGAAAAAATCATAATACCAATCATAAAACCAACACAAAAACGTTCGTTACTCGTTCAGATGCTCAAATTCCCGATAATAAAGGTTGTCATTAAAATTTATTAACCTAAAATATAGCGCTTGAGCTAGCATTCTAGCTGCAAAATGTCCAGCATCTTCATGCACTTCAGGCATTCCAAATAATATAACCATGCGATAAAGATTCTCTGGAGTATTGAGAATAATGCATACAAGAGCGATTGCTAACCACCTCCATAATAATTGATTATTCTTTTGCTAAAAATGGTTATTGAAATATCGAAATATGCATCAATTTAAGAAGTTTACAAGAAATTTGAAAAACTCTATGTGATAAAAATGATTCTTAAAAACTGCGAAATAAATTCAGATTTTGGCACAAAATACTGTAAAATCTGACTGTTATTTAAAAATATTTTAGAATATTTTAAATAGGGGTTTAAGATTTACTTTGTAACGGCTTGAAAGATTCCTAACACTAATTTCCATCTTTTTCGATATATCGACAGATTCTTTTAGTCTAATCCATTTAGAAAATATTTTAGGACACGATCTGCAATGAAAACTATCAATCTTTTATCACCACATTAAAATATTCTTCATAATATTGGCAATTATAATTTAATCTTGAGCGACTATATTGTTATTCTGCTGCAATCATTTCTTTCAGAATATTTTCTAGAACTTTCTATAAACTTCGAACTTCGAGCCAAGTCTCTTTTTGTTTTTTTTCTTTCTCTTTTTCTCTTTTTCTTAAAAAATGAGAAAAATAAAAAAACAAACAATTGAAATAAATATATGTATATATATATAAAATTTATAATAATATTATAAATTAATATAAAATAATTAATATAAAATAAAATAATCTGCCTTTGACAGGAGTAAACCTATCATATCAAAAATTCGAGTGGTTTCTGGGGACCTACCTGTAACTCTATCCCCAAGTGAATCTATGGTGAAAAAGTTAGATATACGGCTTCCGCGTCCCCCGACGCGCATAATACTCCCAGCCCCGTGGTATATGCGATAAGTATACAATCAGGGCTTAAAGCGATCCCAAGGTTGGTAAAAAAAATGTGCTCGCAAGCCAGGGTAATTGTTCGAGACCTATCAAACGGAACAGCCTTCTGCACGCCAGCGAGGTATTAGCCATATCAGCGTGGAACGTCAGAACGCTTATGGATGTAGCAAGTCGAGCGATCACTGTCCACACCCTTTCTAAATATCGTGTGGATATCGCTTGCTTGTCCTCCTCATTTCCTCATTTCCTCATCCTCCTTTGTTCCTCACTTCAGATCTCGAGTAATTACTAATTCTGGTTCGGAGCAGAGATGCTGGCTATATTACTATGGTGCTTCGAATAACTCGGGACGAAATGGCGTTTGTTATGTTTGTCATGTCTGAAAAGGCCCATGCCGCTTTGATTGAGTGGGAACCGGTAGGTCACCGTATGGCCTATACCCGTTTTAAGTGTAAGTTCTGCAAATCTCGGTCATGAATGTCTATACTCCAAGTCTGTCGGCAGATTACCGGGATAAAAGTAAATTCTATGCGGAACTTCAACTGTACAAAGTCTCTACCGAAACATGATTAGAATTGGGGGAGACTGGAATGCTCGCGTAGGTCGCGTACGTTGCCGCTTGGCAAATATGGCATCGAAGACCAATGTGCCAATGGAGAATGTCTTCGTTATGCCGAAGAGCTTTTATTACTAACTTTTGGCATCGTAGAAAACATTTAGTCACGTGGAACCTCCCGGACAACCAAACTTCAACCAGATTGATTATATTTTAGTCAGTCGCCGTTAAAAGAGTTTCGTACTAGATAGTCATTCCTATCGCGGAGCTGAAACGAGTAATCTTCATGGATCTGATTGTGTTATGGTTCGAGCCAAGATCCGCATAAAATTGGCAACTCGCAGGAAACAGCATCCCCAAGATTAGGACCTTCTCATAAAATGGAAAGCATTCTTTGAAGCCAAAATTAACCTTGAAGCGCCATCTGCCCCTGATATAACTGACATATGCTTGCAATTGCTAGCCTCCAACAGAAAAAGAAATAATTTCAGTTATCCATAAGCTTAAGGCCAATAAAATTCCAGGAGAAGATGCTCTTCATGCTGAGTTTTTCAACAATGTTGTCCATCGTCCTTTATAACGCACCTTCAACAAGTGTACTCTCTAATATGGATAAAAGAAATATTACCAGATGAATGGAGCAAAGCAATTCTGCTCCCAATTCTCACGAAAGGTGATAGTACAAACTGCGACTTATGGAAGTACTGGACAGTACTGGACATGCATCTTAATCAAGCTGGTTTTAGACCAGAGAGAGATCAGATATTCACGTTGAGAAGGGTGTTGGAACATGGCTTCAGATATTTGCAATCCACTGCCACGTGTTTCATCGACTTTGCGGCTAATTTTGGTTCAATTGATAAAGCGGAGGTTTAAAGGGTGATGGAACGCCATGGTATTCCAGATAAAATCATTCTATTCATAATGGCATTTTATGAGCGCACGTCGGCGTAGGTCTGTGTATTTGGGGAGCTGATAGATTCCTTCGAAATAAGAATAGGGTCCATCAGGGCTGCGTCCTTTCTCCCACAGTATTCAATTATGCGATAGGCTAGATAATGGATAGCGCTTTTTGGCAAGAGATGTCCAAATCAGTCCAGAGCATCGTATCATAGATCTTGGATATACATTGATGATGTAGTTCTTTTTGCTGACATTTATGATGAAATGCAAATAATGTAAAATTTTTTAACTACCAGTCAATTATTTAATTATTTGTAATTTGTAATTTTGTAATTTGTAATTTTCTAAAGGGGCGCATTTTAACATATTAATAAAATCCCATTCCAGAGTATAAATAATTATTAAAAGTTAATTTCTAAGCCTAAATAATGTGTCAGCAACGAGAATCGGACTCAGGATCAATGTAAATAAAACGAAAGCCTTTTCGTCTTATGTGCAAGAAGCTGATAAAATGGTTCTTTTTTGTAAATTCATTGTCAATTGAGGAAGTGCCCGATTTTAAATATCTTGGGTCCATTCAAATACCAAATGGGCAGGTTAAAGATGATATTACAACTCGGATCACGGCAGTTAAAAATGCCTTCTTCCGGTTGACGAAATCTTTATGGAGCCGTCGTGAAATCACCATAAAAACGAAAGTCCGCATCTATATTGCCGTGATCCGTTCGATCTTACTATATGGTTCTGAGACATGGCCAATGAGAGTGGAGGATATTAAGAAGGTTATCTGTCTTTGACCACTCTTGTCTAAGGTATATATTACCGATCAGTCAAGCGCATAAGATATCACAAGACGTATCCATCTTCGTTCAAATACCACTTGCATAAATAATGTTATCACAGAGCATCGCCTTCGCTGGTTAGGGCACATTCTCCGTTGTCCACCACAGGAGTTGATGCATATTTCGTTATTTGCTAAACCGTGTGACAGTTGGCATCAAAAGCAAGGTGGACCAATGAAGGCGTGGATTGATAGAAAAGATTTTGAACCAGGTGGACCAGCAATGTAGAGACATTGGAAAAAGGAATGGCTTCTATTACTGTCGACAATAGCACCAGACCGCGCCGCTTGGAAGCGTCTTACCCTTGGAGCCGTTGGAGCCAGCCTAACCAGTAATGGTGGGAGCTGTTAGAAGAAGAAGAAAAGAACTATTAAAATATTCTAAGAACTGTGGTTTAATTAGTAAAATTGTGAAATGCTGTTTGTTTGATTATTTTACCTTTTTTAATTTATATTCACAAGTTTAAAACAGTTCTAAGTTCTTTAAAGTAGAAGTTTTTGTAGCAGAAATTTTTAATTTTTATCATAATAACGAATAAATTCCGTTTGTTATTCGGCAAATTAGATAATTTATGTAGCTAAAAGTGTTTGCTTTTCTTCAAAGAGCATTTTAAGGAGACGGCGGTATTTTTTAATTCGTTCGGATTTAGTCTTCCTTTTGTTTTTTGCTGTAAACATTTTGAAAGGTGGTGTAGTAAATGGAGATTTAATATGCTCAATATATTTATTTACATTTAATAGGGGTGGGAAGGTCGCATGGTATGTTTGTAATCAAAGTACTTTATATTACAATAGGTTCGATTCCTGAGCTTGGTGGAGGAAACTGGTTATTAAAAATGAAATTCAAGTTATTTTGGGGTCCTGCACTTTTATTCCGAAGTGACTCTTAATCAATCATAATCGGATATAAAGGCAGCTCTTGGATGAAGAGGAACAGATATTAAATACCTCAATTAGTTTAGCAAGATAAAGCGCTAACAAATTTTTCATTATGACCAAAGTGTCCATTAAAATTATCATAATGCACGGCACAGTGAATGACCATAATGATTCAATTAAATGAAAAAGACGATTCGTTGCCAACGTATCAAATAATGGCATTTGAACGCATCCAGTTGTTGACGAATGAACAGCAATTAGAAGCCACAAATTTAGTACGGCAGATGTTAACTAAAATAATCAAATATTTAGTTCAATGAAGAATTTGAATCAAAAAAATTTGGAAGATATTTGTAATTCTTTCAGCAATTAAATATTCGAATAGAATGAAGGGTAATCGATGTTCTCGTTAAGTATTTCATCGAATCAGTGGAGAATTCCGTATGGATTTAAGTTTTTCAGACCTCGAAGGGGATTCAACTTACTTTTTACAGCCTTAATATTAATCTTCAAGCTATAGCGCCCCTCGTGTTTAATTCTACTTACTGAGAATTCTTCCTCTAAAAGTTTCAGACCTCGAAGGGGATTCAACTTACTTTTTACAGCCTTAATATTAATCTTCAAGCTATAGCGCCCCTCGTGTTTAATTCTACTTACTGAGAATTCTTCCTCTAAAAGTTTTCAATTTCATTACAAAAGCTTAATTTTTTGTCAAAACCGATTATCCTTCTCTTTGAGAGAAGTGACCATGTCAGCAAAAGTAAAGTTTATGTGGAGCTATGGATTCCCTTGCCATTTTATTAAAAAATTTCATCCTTACAGACAATGGGGCCAGGTAAACAAAAATGGTGAGTATTGTTAGAAGAAGAAGCGGAAAGAATGAAAAAATTCTCATTTTTAAATTCTGCGCAATTTGCATGATATGTGAGCTAGATTACTCGTTTTCTAACATTGTATTCCATTATATATTTATTTATTGAAAACCAAGCAGAACGACAAGGCAGTGTGCTTGTATTAATAACAGCAGTTTAAAAAAAAAACAAATGATAAAATTTAGTAATAAGAAAAATAGAAAATATGACAGATTAACAATTTAAAGAAGAAATAAAGAGGATATTACGGAATAATATAGTACAATTCGAAGTAACTATATTATATATAATTAGATGGTAAAAATCGAGATTTCATACTTCCTGCATGATGTGAACTTTTTAAATAATATCGTAAATGATTTCATCTGATCTTTTTTTAAAGATTGCTAAAAATGACGCACAAGCGTTCGATAATTTACAGTAACTAACAGTACGAATAAAGAAATCATAAGTCCTTAGTTTAGTTTTTGCAAAAGAAAAACCCATGTGTCTTGGAAAACAATTGGAAAATTCTTAAGTTTTTTATTCGGGAATAAATTAATTATTTAATAAGGTTTTAAATTTAAAATTTTAAAATTTTAAATTTTTAAATTCAAAATTAACATGCAAAATCTGTAAATCTGAGCTAAATAAAACGATTTGTTATAAATTGTTGTAATATGATTCAATGTGATAATTCATTCGTATTTGAAATGAAAATAAGTTAATTCTTAAAAAGATATTTAAAATTTATTTTCATTGGTACTATTGAATAAACTATCAACTATAATATATAAGGATAAAATATTTGGGCGATGTATATTTGATTTGCTTAAATATGACAAAGGGGAAACTGTAGAAATCTGTGGAAATTTAAATCATTATGTAACTTTTGAAACCCATTGATATCGCTCAAAACCTATTATATCTTATAAAAGTCTGTCCAAACCCAACCAAATACTCCTTTAATACTCGTAGTATTCTCTTGCCAATATCCATTGGTGACATCATAATGAAAACCTTTCTAAAACTTCAAATCCTGCCAAATCCAGTTGTGACCCCTTAACACTACTCTCTCTTTTTATGTTCTAATAACTTCATCTTCATCAAAAGAACTATCAGTAGAACTTATAAGAAAACAACATTGAATAAAATTAATTGTTATTCATTAAATTACTTATTCAATACTTATTTAATTATATTATCGAAAATCAAAAAAAATTCTTCAAAAGAGCTTCATTGAAATGTACCACCACTTCTGTTGTCGTATAAGAAAATTTTTAAACGATCTTGATTATAATTTGGAACTCACAACAATGCAGGCCAATGCCCGATAAGGCATTTGCCATAGACGCAAATGAAATAAGGGATGTCGTATAGCCAAATAGCGTAAAGTTGACAATAAGAGCCAAGACCATATCGATATACTTGTTACTGTATGAGTACTAAATAACATAACCTGGAATCATGTTATATTTATCTGCGGTTTTCTGAATTGAAAATAATAATTTAGAAAATGAAATGACCTGAAAAAATTGGAAAAATAATTACCTTACAAACAATGCCCATAAGTAAAGTATCGTCGTCGAAATTTGAATATATCTGCATGATGTTTTGTGACAATATAAGAAGAAGTGAACATAAATCAGCAGCAGCCATTGAACATAAAGCTACACCAGTCCCATTACGATAACGTTCTTCGTCCTTGCTTAATGAAATAAAAATGCAGAAAGTGCAAAAAATCTCTCGAAAAATTTTGTAGAGATGTAAATGGCATCAAAATTCGCACAAATAAAATATTTTTTTTCCTTCAAACACCGTATCAGTCCATGTCTTGATTGGCTCACCTCGCTTCTGACACCATCCATCACACGGTTTAGCAAGTAACAAAATATGTCAACTCAACTCTTGTGGTGGACGACGGAGAACGTGCCTTAACCAACGACGCTCTGTGATATTATTAATGCAAGTGGTATTTTAACGAAGGTGGATGCGATCATGTGATATCTTATCCGCTCGACGGATCCGTGATGTATACCTTAGACAAGAGTGATCAAAGACAGATAAGTTCTTAATATCCTCCACTCTCACTAGCCACGTCTCAGAGCGATATAATAAGATCGAACGAATCATGGCTAAATAGATGCGGATTTTCGTTTTTATAGTCATTTCACGACGGCTCCATAAAGATTTCGTCAACCGGAAGAACGCAGTTATAGCTGCCGTGATCTGAGTTGTGATATCGTCTTTTGCCTGACCATTTGATAATAGAGTGGACTCAAGCTATTTCTTCAACTGGATGAACTTATAAAAAAAGGCATTTTATCAGCTTCTTGCACATAAGACGAAAAAACTTTTGTTTTATTTATTACATTGATCCTGAGTCCGATTTACCTATCTATCGTATAATTGAATATTGTGAGGGAAAGGACGCAGCCCTGATGGACAACTGTTCTTATTTCGAAGGAATCTGTCAGGTTCCCATATATACAGACCTGCGCTGACGTGCGCTCATAAAATGCCTTCATGGCTTCAAATGATTTTCTCTGGACCACTGTCGCATTCCATCACTCTCCACAGCATCTTTCTATCAATTGAATCAAAGGCAGCCGCAAAGTCGATGAAACACATGATAGTGGGTTGCAAATATCTGAAGTGATGTTCAAACACCTTTTTTAACGTGAATATCTGGTCAGCACAAGCTCGCCCTGGTCTGAAACCAGCTTGATTAGGGCGCATCCCGCTGTCCCGTACTTCCATAAGTCTGTTGAGTAGCAGGGAAGCAAAAATTTTCGCTAAGATATCTACTAGACTGATTCCTCGATAATTGTCGCAGTATGTCCTATCACCTTTCTTGAGAATTGGGAGTAGAATTGCTTTGTTCCAATCATCTGGTAATATTTCTTTTTTCCATGCTAGAGAGATATATTTGTTGAAAGTGCGTTATGAAGAACGATGGACAACATTTGAAAAATTCAGCCTGAAGAGCATCTTCTCCTGGAATTTTGTTGGCCTTAAGTTTATGGATAACTGAAATTATTTCTTCTTCTGTTGGAGGCTCGCAATTGCAAACGTATGCTTCGGCAAACGTATCAACTATATCAGAGGCAACAGATGGCGCTTCATGGTTAAGTTTGGCCTCAAAGAATTCTTTCCATCTTATGAGGCGATCCTTAATACTTTTAATTAGTATGCTTTTGCCTTACCATTTCACTGATCGTACACGAGTCATAGGTGCTTTATGAAGAAGGCGGAATAATTTCCTATTATCGCCTAATTGAGCCGCTGTTTTCATTCTCAAGGCCATATCATTGCAACAGTGATTATTGTCCCGTCGTGTTTTGTTGCATCTTTTTTGAAGCATCGGATAGTCAGGATCTCCTGACATTCGTGCTTTGGTAGCGCTTTCAACAGTTGGACAGTTGCTTCCGATACCTAATTTATTAATAATATATCCTAATGTGGAGGTGGCTGACTTTCGGAGACATTCCCTTTAGTTTGGACCAGTATTCATTTGTCGTTCCAGAAAAGTCATTGATTTTTGTATCATGGAATGCTTCAATAATTCACTTTGAAATGCACTCACTGTCTCTGAAATTTTTAGTCTGGAATAGTTGAAGGACCTTGGGAGATAGTATTTTCTGCGAGTTGTCAATTTTATGCGGATTTTGGCTTGAACCATAACATGGTCAGATCCATGAAGATTGTCCGTTTCAGCACCGCGATAGGAACGACTATCTAGTACGGAACTCTTCCGACGGCGACTAAGATATAGTCGATCTGGTTGAAGTATTGGTATACAGGGAGTTCCATGTGACTAGATGTTTTCTATGATGCCGGAAGCAAGTATTGGTAACAAAAAAGTTCATGCTCTTCTACATAACGAAAAAGACGTTCCCCATTGGCACACCGGTCTCCGATGCCATATTTGCCAATTGTGAGGTCATCGAAGTAGCATTATGACCTATGCCCGCATTCTAGTCTCACTCTAGTCCTAATTATGACTCATAACTTGTTTCATAAATTGTTTCGGTAGAGACTTTGTTAGTAGTTGAAGTTCCGCACAGAACTTATCTTTATCACGATCATCTGCCGAGAAAGTTGGAGCATAGACACTGATTACCGAAATATAATAGAAATATAATATAATATGACCGAAAAATATAGAAATAGTAAACACAAGAACTTGTGCCCAGTTCCGAAAAATTCTGGCTATTTCGGTCTTAGAAAAATCTAATTTAAATGCCAATTTTGCACAAATATAATCATGGAATCCATATGAATTTTTTCAATTTGTAATGGATTTATATTTATAATTAGGTTAGCAAATGCTTTTTTCAATGCGAAATCAAACGCAAAGCTATGTTTAATTAGCAAATTTTTTTACTTCGCAAGCATTCTCATCCGAAAAAATACGTAAAGATTAGCAGGGATTCCAACAACTGCTGCCAAAAAATATATGAGCAAAGTCGCTGCGGCAACTGTGCGTACGGTTGGATCTGTTGCCAAATTTCGATAAATATTACTTATGTACTAAAAAATTTTCAATATGATATTGTTATAATTGATCATAATAATGCTTGATAATTACTGAATTTATTCAAGTAAAGTTTTATAAATTATAGCATAAATAAAACACTACAATTAAAAATAAAAAATTAAAAATATATAATTTCAGTAATTTGAGCATAGACAATCTTGTTTAACCATGGATTTCAATTTAAAACATATACAACACATGCATGAATACAGATAATGAATTAAATGCTTGCGGTACTTTTTAAATCATTTTTGGAAATATCTTTTGCGAACAAGGAATTATTCAAGTTGAAACAAAGTCAAAACCGAGGTTACCTCAAAATTTATTTCAAATAATGCCTTTTCTTAAATTTTGCATTCTCCAAAATTCTCAAAGAAATTTATCAATTTATTTTTAATATTTCCTTAATCTTATGAAACAAATTCTGAAATCGATGTTTTTACATTGGAGATCCTCATAAAAAGAAAAAAAAAAGTCGAATTTCAAGTTGAATATAAAATTTCAACAAAATCATCAAATTTCATAATTTCATTAATTTGCATTTGTATTACATATTAATATATACAAAAAGTAGCAAATAGCTTGCCTTATAATTTTCCTCAGTTGCATTTAAAAAACGGCTTGGATCAACCTCTCTATGAAAACCCTGATTTTCCATATTAATATCCGAATCTACCATCGATAATTCGGCTGCAACAATGCAATAAAAAATGGCGAAAATAAGAATAGATGGCCATTAATAATAACAAAATTAAACTATCCAGAGGACTAAAAATTACATATAAAAGTTTCAGACAACCGAAAGAAAAAAGATTACTATTAAATATGACGATGTGGATTCAAAATAAAAATTAGATAAAACAAATTAGATAAAATAGTGGTATTTTAAGGATTCTAGCAGAATATCTTATTTTTGATAATAGTAAAATAACAGATATTTTTGAAAATTTATTTTAAACTATTGGCTGCTGCCAATTCAGGCGAACGCAGATAATTTAAGATTACGAGTCAAAATCAAAAAATTGGTATTGCCTGAAAGTGGCATTATCTAACTCTCATTAATTAAGCCAGCACAGAACCTTCTAGATTCAGATTTAAATTGATGGAAAGAAGCTCTTTGAGAGAAATGAATGTTAATTAATCTTCCATAAGAATAGGGAAAAGTCCCGCGATAGATCAACAAACAAAAATCGCTGCAAAATTATCTCAAGAAAGTAAAAAAACTGATAATTTTGGTAAAAAATTATGTCATCATTTGACCACTCGTATGAATATTTATCAAATATGATCTCACAATTCTTAAAAATCATTTAGAAAAATACACATGGCAGACACGTGAATCATCGGGAAGAATTTGCGGAAATATCTTTTTTTCCGTCTTACTTTTCCAATTAATAATGCCACATTGTAGAAGCCTTCGCAATGTAGCAGAATTTTGACTAAATGAATGAACAAAAGCATTAAATTTATGAAAAGCAAAAAATAAATTTATTTGCAAAGAAAACTGCATAATTTTGGCAAAGACGATGAACTAATAAAAGTTTAATTCATGTAAAAGTTTGATAAAGAATTCGAGTCCGCGAAGCCAAAAATCTGCACGAAATCGAGTCTGGTAGCGGACTCATCGCTTCAAACTTTTTTTGCTGCCGACTAATATGATATATGAAATTTCTAACGCGCATCTTGGGTCCAATTCTTGCACATTGGCGAGAAGATAAAAGCATTTCTGTAGTTGGCATAATTTGAAAACATTTTCGAATCTCATCATCTTATCACTGGCACAGAGTGGCCTTCATATTATCATGGTTCTTTGCTTGCTCTTGACAGGAATAAGTTTGTCCTGCCTTCCATCACCAAATGAATCACTGATATATCATCCTAATATCCAGCGGAGCGAACGATTAAAAAAATGTGTATAAAATGAAAACAATATTATTAAATATTCGCGCAAATAAAGAACCGCAAATTTTAATAAATTTCTAAAGTCGATAAAAAATTGATAGATTAATGGAACTTATAAGCAAACAGTTCTTAACAAAAAAAGCCATTTTTGATTTACCACTTTTTTCCAAAAAAATTCTCAAAAATCCCTTTCGTATTTCTCTTTATATTTTCAGTTTTATACCTTTCCAAAACTAAACATCATAAAACATCTTAAAAGGGACTCTGATTATGTTGAAAGACAAAGACTCTCTCGCTTCTGGTAAGAATAACCTTTTCCGGAATATTCTGAACAAGTGACAAAAATTCTTACTATACAAACAGCCAGCGGAACTAGCATAAAAAGAGCGGTGACCACCTTTTCCTCACTTAGTCTTAAAATCGATCTCCATTATTACTAAAATTTAATAGATATTTCAAAATCTTAAAAGTATAGTTTTCGTCTTTTTCTAACACTTCATCGTTTCTAATAGGTGTAACCTGTCATCAAAAAATTACTTGGCTGTCTCCACTAATTGTTAGGATAAGATTCGTAGATCACAGATTCGCTTGAGAATAGAAATGCAGGTGAGTCTCCAATAGCAAATATATTTTCTAATTATGAATTGTGATGTTGCAACGATATTTGCAAAGACAAATTTTTCATTTATTT